TGGTGTCTCCTAAGCTGGCCTGGCCCTTTTGTACACTTGGCTGGGGCGGGGAGGGTGAGGCCACCTTCTCTGGTTTCGGACAGCTATCATGGGAGGCCCAGAGAGACACAGGGATGAGCGGGGGTCACAACTGGGGTTAACTACAGGGGAGGATGGACACCGGATGCAGGTGGCACAATTTTCTCTTGTGGCAGCCACTACTTTCCAGCCTACTGCCTGTCCTTGCTGAGTAAGCCTTGGATTGCTAACCTTAAGGTGGCTGGTCCAAGCCGACCATCTGCTCCATAGGATAAAGACGAGGCTGTCTGCTCCCTTAAAGATGGACAAAGCTTCAAAAACCCTACAGAGGGTCTCTGGGAGCCAGAATCAGCTCCACGGCAGGGTGTTTTTGGTGTGTGTTACTGAGCCGGACTCAGGAGCACTCAAGGTCAGAGGTCAAGAGGACCTATGAGGCAGGCAGAGACTAGTGGCATTTGTAGAGGGAGAGTTGTGGCCTCCCCCAAGTCTAAGAAACCTGAGCAGCATGAAGTGGAGGGGACTTTCTAGAGCAGGCCTACAAAGGCTAAAAGGTTTTGTGGGTGTAGCCTCCTGCTTGAGGCTTGAGGTATGCTGGGGACTGCTGCCCCAGAGACTCCTGGCTACAGGGCTTGGCTTGGGCTTGTCCGGTTTAGCAACCTGCTGTGCTGCTCCCAGGCTGGCTGCTGTCAGGAACGACTGACTGCTCCTTCTCCCCAGAGTATGGACTCCAGAGCCAGTCTAACACCCCTTCCTACGGAGTCACCCTGAACAATTGGCTCTCCTCCCCGAGCCTCCGTTTCCCCATCTATCAAAATTCAAATGTTAGTGCCCAATTTCACCTGGTGGCTGGCAGACGCTAACAGCGCTCCCCTCTCCGTTCTTCTCCCTCCTTTCCCAGAAACAGCTGGGCCCAGAGGTGAGGTGCCACTTTGCTGCGTGGGTGACAGTGGTGTTTCTGTAGTGAGCATGGGGGGCCCTGCACCATAGCGGCGATGGTTCATTGGACAGATGGGAAGGTGGAGGCCCAGAGGCTGGTGGAGTGGATGTGATTGTCTAATCAACGACCCTAGAATTGACACTTACAACCAGAGTCCCTACGCCTGCTCCTCTGAACTCTTTCTTACAGGGGGTGGGGGTGGGGTGGGGGCGGCAGAACAAAGTAAGCAAAGGTTCCCCTTTCACAGTCTCCTCAGAGCACTGACCCTTCCAGGAAGGTTTCCATGCTGTGGGTGTCCAGAGGGCAGGGCCCAGGCCCAGGCTCCAGAGCTAGGTGGTAGATAGACAAAGCTGCAGGGTCTTGTGATCATTAACCCAAGAGCCAGAAACTCTGGGCCGGTGACGCCCAGTGACCCCCGAGGCAAAGGTCAAGCCCCCTGTTAGTCACTAACTGGACAGGTCCAAGCATGCCCCATGGGAAACGGTCGGTTCTTGACCTGGCTGCGGGTGCGGGTGGGCCAAGAATTGTGTCCAGATGAGTGTTTTATTTAAAACAACATCACGAAATGTAATACATTTGCATGTAACACATTTTTTGAATTATACATTTTATCGCAAGTTTCATATTTTCTGTTTTTATTCTTTTTAAAAATACCACACCTGGGGATGTGTGTCTTATCTTATGTTCATTGCATTGCTGTTATGTCGATAATATGAATGAATTAGATATGTTTTTTTCCCTTAGGGTTCATTTTCAAGAAGTAAATAAGTAGAAATAAAACACCACCACCAATAAAAAATAAACAATCTACATTGGATACACACTTGTAAACAGTTAAAAAAAATCTTTTAGCAAGGAAAACAAAAATATTTTTAACAGTAGTATTGAGGTATCATTTTCATATCATAAAAATCCATACATTGTAAGTATATAGTTCTATGGTTTTCACAGATTTGATCACTTGGGTATTAATCTCTGTAATCCAGGGTTGGAACTTTTTCATCACGCCTGGTCCTGGCCCCAGCCTCAAGTAACCACAGCAACGTGGATGGCGTGACATCCTCTCCCTTTGTCCTATTTGAGCCAGCTGCTAAAACTTATTTGCGCTTGCCCTCCCCGTCTTTGTAGGCAGTATGAAAACATGTCCCTTATTAAAAAAGAGGAGCCTCTCCTGTGCACTCTGTTGACAATTTGTTTCTTGGACTTGAGGAATCTCACTATGCTCATTGAGGGCCTACTATGTGCCAGGCACCATCGGATCTCATCCCTCCTTGTCTTTCCCAGCTGCACAGTGGTCCCTTGTATGCGGGCGTTCAGGTCCTTTCCAGTGTTCTCCCCACAAGGCTTCAGTGGCCATCTGTGTGTGTACAGCTTGGTGCTTGTCTGTGAGTGATTCTCTAGGGAGTGGAACTGGCATTGCATTGTCTTTTCATTCACACAACAGCAACAAAGCAAGCCATCACTGGAGACATTTGCCTTCCAAGAGGAGAAACCAGAGGGTATGTGAGAGCCGTGAGATTTTAAGCTCTCTGAATTTAGACCCCAAGGGACCCTCTAAAGGCCCTTAGAGCCAGGGCCTGCCTGAGAACTCAGGCTGCCACCACAACTTCCCCTGGGTGCTCGGATGAACGCCCCCTCTTCGTTGTGGCTCTGAAGGTCACTGTGACCCCTGGCACCTTCTCCAGCCTTATCCGTGCTTGCCCTTTGATTTCAGACAGGACTGCTCTTTTATTCCTTGCCCTTGGCCTGCACTTTGCTTGCCCTTTACCCATGCTGTTGGTTCCTCTTTTCAGGCTCCATCTCTATCAGTCAGAATTCGTTGCATCCTTCAAAGCTGTGGTCACAAGCGTTTTCCTCCAGGCAGACATTTTATAATCCACACCCTGGATGGCACCGTCCTGTCTCCCCCCCCCCCATGTCCCCTGAGCCCTTTCTGGGACCCACATCTGACCCCCAGTAAGAGGGAGATGGTATGAGTGGTAGAGAGAAATTCTAGCCCCATGAGGAAGCAGCTGGGCTCCAGGAGGAGAGGTGAGGTGCCGGAGATCTGGAGGTAGGGGTGTCGTGAAAGTCCCTTTACCCTGGGTGCAGGTCAGACCATTTTCACACATGCAGACTCAGTGAATCCTAGTAGCCGTATCTGCAATCTGGTTAGCAGATGAGGAGACTGAAGCACAGGAAGAAGTAAATTGTACACACGGTCACCGAGTCAAGAAGATGTGGAGGTGGGCCTCAAACCTAGATCTCCAACTCCCTAGTGCCCTTTCTGCACCAGGCTGCTGAGGCAGAGAGGATCTTGGATGCCACAAACTCAGTGCCATCGAGTCGATGCTGATTCACAGCACCCCCTACAGGGCAGGGCAGAACTGCCCTGGTGAGTATCCAAGACTGTAACTCTTCACAGGATTAGAAAACCCCGTCTTTTTCCCAAGGAGTGCTGGTGGTTTTGAACTGTGAACCTTACAGTTAGCAACCCAACGCATAACCACTACACTATAATATCCGAGAAATCGACATTGAGACTGGTAGATGGTAGGGGAATGGAGGAGGAGTTGGTAGAGGTAGACAGCTGGCCTAGATGAGTCTGAATGGGACTTTGCCATTTTGTTGGCTGCAAAGGGTCCAGGGTAGCCAAAAACAGAGAGCAGGGTGATTCAAAAATTCTGAACTTACTCCTGTAATTGCCTACAGAAGGAAACAGCCGAGGTTTTGCCTCTGAGTTGTTTCCAAGAGCCAGTGAGTTTTGGCCTCTGAGCTGTTTCCAAGAGCCAGTGAGATTCCCATCAGTTATATACCTCAAAGTTTGTGGCAGGGGGGAGGGGGGTGTTAGTTAAGTCTTGACAATGGTCAGGGGACCCATCAAGGAATGGGACTAAAGGGAGCAAGGTTCCCAGAAAACAGTTTGCATTTCCCCGACCAGTCATTGATAGCATCATTACTCCAGGAGATTCCAGACCAACATCCTCCAAAATGTTCAGTCTTTATGCTTATCTAAATGGCCCTGCTTCCCCCTTCCTGGGCTTTTCAATAGGCTCGGGCCTTGAATATTAACAGGTTTTACAAGGAATATACTGTAGGGGAAGGGGTTGTTACATCCTGGATTCCTTGTGACAAGCTCAATCTCAACATACTCTGTTACGTTTTCAGTGCTGATCAACAGCCTGATCTTCCACTTTCCGATACCAGCCTGAGTCAAATGGCTGCGGGACTCTAGTGGAGGAGGGAGGGCTGGGCAAGGAGTGTGGGTGAGGATAAGAGAGCTCAATCCTCCCTTTCCCCCAGGAAAGTCAATAGAGCTGTTTTAAGCAGAAACGCAAACAAAAAACATCTGCAGGACGCCGCACAAGCTGCACAAGCTTGTTGTTTAGAGACAGGTCAGCCTTGCAATTATCAGATAGAGGGTGGGGGGGTGACTTCTCGAATGGGGTGGAGAGGGCACAGCAAATACCTGACTCCAAGGGTTGATTCAAAATAAAAGTTAAAAAATAAATAAAGCCTTTAAAATGCACACATAGAAAGACCATCTATTTCAGGCGGGGACAGTTGGAAGAGTCTGCCCAGGCACCGCCTGGGTTCGAATCCAAGCTCTACTATTGACTGGTTGCATGCGTGTTCTCTAACAGCTCTGTCCTTCCGTTGCCTCTCTGGCCCTTAGTACTCATGCTGCGAAGGTGTTCGGCTGCGCCAGTTCGTGGGAAGGCTCCGATACATGCGCAATCTTGTCATTTTCCTGCTGGAGAGGTTGGGGAGGGGCGGCCGCTTTGGTGGGCCGCACAGCTCGTATTGCGTTAGCACCTGTTGCCATGCCAGGTCCTGCAGCTGGGTCCCTCCCCCGCCCGCCCCCACCCCACCACCTGGGGTCCAGGGGCGGCCGCGCCCAGCTGGTCTGTCGCGGTGAGAACCAAGGTTCCCAAAGGCAGATCCCCGCCTCTCGCGGGTCCTGCCCGTGCGCGAACAGCAGGGCGGTTCTCTCCGCTTGGGGCGCGGTGGGCGGGAGGCTACTTAAGGCTGGCTCCGCGAGGCCGCGGCTGCGATTGCGTGGTTTTCCATAATCGCCACCATGGCTCCGCACCGCTCTGCGTCCGCGCTGTTCGGAGCGCTGGTCCTGGCGCTGTGTGCGCTGCCGCCTCCCGCTCGTGGGGCCACCGCGCCGCGGGGAGCGGTCCAGGCGCGGGCACCCCAGGCGCCCCAGGCGTCCCAGGCACGGGTGAGTGCCCCGGGGACCGGGGGCTCCCGGAGTAACTCTTTATTCTAAGTTCTTGCAGATTCAGCGCTAGGAAAAGGGGAGTAATTCAGGTCTAGAATGGAAAAACTGTTTTGTTGCTTTGTAAGTATTTCTTGCTGCTTCCCAGGGTCCCCTCCAGACGCGGGTGGGCGCCTGGGAGCCCCGGCCGCTGTCCCCACCGCAGAGGCTAACCTCCCCTGGGCTGGAGGTGTGCCCCTGTCTGATTTCTCCCCCTCTGCTGTCTGAGGTCCTCTTCCTTGCCTAATGGCTCCTTCGGCTTTTCCCTCCTCGCTCCTTCTCTCACCCAGTGGCTTGTCCCGTGCAGATTCTCCCCAGGAGACTGCTCGCTCCCGCGGAGCTCTTCCCTTCCTCTGAGCCGTCCTCCACTCTGATTTCTCCTCTACCCGCTCCCATTTCCCCTCTTTCCTCCCACATTTCCTTCTTGGAGTTTTCCCTTTGGGATTTCTGACTTCTCTGGTCTGAATTGTATTCCCGCCAGACCTGTCTTCCTCCGGCCCACGGTGGGTGGACCTGCGCGCGCCACCTCCGCGCTCCGCTAACCTTCCTCTCAGTGCATGTCTGCGAACCCTTCCCTCTGTCCTTGACTTCTCCAACAGGCTCCTGCAGACCCCGCTGCGTCCTCTCCGCCTTATCCAAGAAATGGGGTTTGGGGGTAGACTGTTGGGGGGCAGGAGGGAGGAGGTAGACAGCTCAGGAGACCACTTGGGCTATCCCCCGCTAGGCCTCCTAGGTAGTGTGAGGGGTGGGTGAATGGGGCGTGCTAGGCTTCCCCATTTCCAAAGAGCAAAAGCAAACAGGCTGTGTGACCTTGGGCCAGACCTTGCCCCCCCACACACACACACACATACACAACCTTTGTGCAACCTTTGGGGAATAGTTTCACCATCCAGGGTGGTCAGGTTGGACTGTGAGCTCCCGGAGGGCGTGTCCAGTTCTCAGAGACACCCAAGATGCTGGAACAGGCTCAGTCCCTGGGCCCTCAGCTTGACCATTGCCATCTGCTGCTCTCAGAGTTTGGGGCAATTCCCGCTCTGCTCTCTCCCAGCTGAGATTTCTTGGCATGGTCACCCTACCTCTCCGTGCCTCGCTCATCACATCCAGTCGGCACATCTGAGCGAGGAAGGACGAGATGGACAAAAGCAGATGGGGAACCGAGTGGGAGAATCAGATGCTGGCCAAGGTCCAGTGTGTAGAGCCTGTTTGCTAACTCACCGTGATGGGGGTCAGGAGGAAGTGGGGGTAGGGGTGCCTTAGGACACGGTAACTCGCCTCAGGCACAAGTGACATGCTCTCCGTGCTGGAAACCACCCTCCCTCGCGCCCGGGGTCTGCCAGTACACTGGGTCGCCCAGCCAGGGTCTCCGCTCACGCCTTGCCTGCTCTCGTCCCCAGCCCAGCAGTATGGTGGTGGAGCACCCTGAGTTCCTGAAGGCAGGCAAGGCGCCTGGCCTGCAGATCTGGCGCGTGGAGAAGTTCGACCTGGTGCCCGTGCCCCCAAACCTCTACGGAGACTTCTTCACTGGCGATGCCTACCTTATCCTGAAGACGGTACAGCTGAGAAACGGGAACCTGCAGTATGACCTCCACTACTGGCTGGGTGAGCCTGGCCCCTGCATGCCACCCCCTACCCTCACCACCACCACCACCACCCCCCAGACCCTGGGAAGCTTAGGTCTTTGTGGTGTGATTCCCTGGAGGAACCTCAGGTGGCTAGTTGATTACTGGGCGCCAAATATATGCCAGGTCCCTGGTTAGAGGTCAGGCCTCCAGGCGCTGGAGCCAGCCTGCCTGAGTTCAAACCCCAGCTCTGCCCCTTACCAGTGCCTGCCTTCTGACAAGTCCTCAATGTCTCTGTGAAGTGGGGAGATGCCAGGGCGCAACTACCACAGCGGATCACCATGAGGAGTCAACGCGTTATGGCGGCACTCAGAACTGGGCGACTCAGGGACCTGGGGACCCCTCCATGACTTCCCTGCCTCCGCTCCCACCACTCCCGTACTTTGCCCTTCAGAGTTGGGAGCCTAGAGTTGCTGGCACACATCTGCCATGTGAGCCTGTGCCCTCCCTGAGTCTCGATTTCCCGATCCGTGAGCTGAGCTGATCCCCCCCAAGTCTGGACTTGATGCCCTTAAGGGCAGGAGTATGGGAAGGAGTGAGTGTAGGACAATGGGGGCTTGAGAGGAGAGGACCCTTAGAGAGCATGCAGTCTAGCCCCTCGACCTCCCCCGTTATACAGATAGATTAACACAGGAGGTGGGGACTGGCTCAGCTTCCACAGCCAAGCCAGGGCAGCACCAAGAGCTCTAGGTGACTTTTGGGGAGCCCACTTCCCAGCATCCCAGACTGAGGGAAGCCAGGCTCAGGCTGCTCTGATGTCTCCTAGGCAATGAGTGCAGCCAGGACGAGAGTGGAGCGGCTGCCATCTTCACTGTGCAGCTGGATGACTACCTGAATGGCCGGGCCGTGCAGTACCGCGAGGTCCAAGGCTTCGAGTCGGCCACCTTCCTTGGCTACTTCAAGTCTGGCATCAAATATAAGGTGGGTCAGGTCCCGCTTGCTCAGGTCATTCAGACAAAAGCCCCAGGGTCAGGGGTCACTGGCATCTACTTGTCTTTCCACCTGTGCCACACACAGCTCAGGCTGTGGAGTTTCCCAGTGTGGGCTTTGCACCCAGGCAGGCCCATTCCTAGCTGTGTGATCTTGGACAGATCTCATGCCCTCTCAGAGCCTCTGGTTTGTTGGTTTGTTCAAATGGGGAGAAGAAAAATCTACATCATTTCAGAGAGTTGTATTCCTAGCCCCAGCAGCCAGGGGTGGGCCTTGGCCTTGAATGCTTGAGCACTTGGGAGGATTTCTTTACTCTGAGTGTCCCATCAGGTAGAACTGAGCAAAGCCAAGAGGGCTTGGGAGGCCTGAGAGGCTGTGCGCTGGTAAGTCGCTGGGCTCCCAGAGCCTCCCGCTCTCCCTGGTTAGCAGAGCTGCTGTACCTGCTCCACAGGGCTGGGGAGAGGGTTTAGTGCAAGTCCCTTGCACGGGGCTTGCTTCTGAGAAGGGCTTTGAACAGGGAGGGGATTGATCACAGGCTTTCAGAGCCAGACTGTTGCCAGCTGTGAGGGGTCTGGGAAGCCTGTCACTGTATTAGCCAAAAGCAGAGACCAAGTTGATTCAAGAAATTCTAAGTTTGTTCCTGCAAGCATTTGCAAAAGGAAAACAGCCCGGCTTCTCCTCTGAGCTGTTTCATAGTTCAGTCCCAACCCCGCAAGTTCTTATGAGCCGAAAACCAAGTCTTTGTTTTCTTTTTGCAATAATTGCAGGAAGAAATTAGCAGGTTTTCACAACGATCACAGGATATAATTGATACTCTCAGAAGGCAGGGTTTGCATTGATCATTAGGAAAGTCTCCATCTTGCCCTGAAGCTTCATGCACCTTGATGATCTAAATTGGGGGGATGCTTCCATGCCTGGCTTCACCAGACCACCATCTCCGAGGCCTCTGAATGAAGATGCTTCGTGTGTGGCTACAAATCTCAATGGCCTTGCTAGCCTCCTCCCTGAGCCAGGACATTGGGTTTATAATAAACTAAACTTTACATTGTATTTCCAATATTTTGACTGACAGCAGACTAATTCTTTCCCTCTATCCAGATGGGCGTTGGTGTCAGAGTTGAAATCCTTCATTTTACAGGGTGGAAACCGAGGGACCCAGCGAGGTTAAGCAACTGGCCCAGGGCCACACAGCATTTTGCTGCCAGAGCTAGGACCTGAACTCGGGTCTCTCTATTCAGCATTCTCTCCAAGACACCAGCCAGCCTTTCATGAGCAAGGTCCTAGGAGAGGGCTCAAGCCATGACTGTTTCACTGGTGTTCTGTGTGGACTTAGAGAAGTCACTGGCCTTCTCTGGGCCTTCGGGTACCACATTGAGCACAGGGACCCTGTCTGCTGGGGTGAGGCACAGGGGATGGAATGATGGAGAGGGCCAAAGGAGACGGAGATCGTGACGGGGCAGGGTGTGGCCTGGGAACTCAGCCTCTGTCTGGGCGGGCTGGGCTGGATTACCTGGCAGCCTACGCAGCCCCTTCCCATCCAACTGTTGTCCCCAGAGCTCCTGCTAGGCTTCTTAGCTTCCCAGTCTTGGTTCCTTGAAGAAGGAGAGGTGATAAGGTTGGGAGCCAGCCCTGTGGCATGCAGAGGGACTAGGTCTCTTTGCATTCTTCTAACAGGGAGTGGAAAGAGCATTGGATGGGGTCCAGTCCCAGCACCACCACAACTAACTACTTTGGGCAAGTCCTGGGCTCTGGGTGCATGCACTCACACTCCCCGCTCATCACTCAGTCACCCAAGAAGTGCCGAGTGCTGGGACCACAGTGCCTCTTATTGTTGCTGCCGTGTGGCAGGCACTGTGCTGGGCTCAGAGGTGTTCCTGCGATCCCGGGAGGTGATTAGAGGCCCATTGGACTGACCAGGAAACGTGAGGCTCAGAGAAGCTGCCTAACCAGTAAGTGATGGCAGTGGTATTCCAGCCCACACCCATGCTCCCCCTGACTCTGTGCCAGGCTCCGTACTGGGACGCTCTGACAAATGAGAGGGGTCCCTTTGAAGGCTCCCCAGGGAGTGGGGAGAGGGAGAGAAGCTAATGGGATCACAAAACATCACAGTTCAGTGGGACCTGAGGGTGACCTGTGGGTAGGACACAAAGAAGGGAGTGGTCAGCTCAGGGAGGCAAAGCAGAAGCTTGCCCATCTATCTTGCCTCAGTCACTCATCTCTTAGGGGACAATCTGATGATCTAACATTGATCAAAAACAGGAACATTCTCTCGCAAAGACAGTTTCCGCAGCGACAAGAATGCTCCAGGGCCGACATTTAGGAATAAAGAAGGCTTGGAAGAGCTGCTCCTGTACAGTGAGCCTGCAGATGGCCTCATGTGCCTCTCACCACAGTCTCTAGGTGAGGAAGCTGAGGCTCAGAGAGGTGGACTCACTTGCCTAAGAGCACACAGTAAAAGATGCCCATCGTTCAACATGTGTGTCTCTACAGAAGAATCAGATAAGTGATTCAGATGTGCCAGGGCGTTTGACTCATTGAACTCATTTGTCCTGATGAAGGACTTACTAGTATCAACCCTATTGTGTAAAGGAAGAGACTGGCATACAGAGAAGTCCAGCAGATTACCAAAGTTAAGACAAGCCTGGGATTCAGACTTCCCTGCCGACTCTGCAGCCTGTGCATCTGGGCTTTAGCCCAGGGCTGGGCTCAGAGTGAACATTAGCAGGCTCCCTGGTCTTAGATCTTAGCTTAAGGTTTACTTAGGAAGCTGCATGTTAGCAAGCCTCCACCTACACGCTGCTGGCAGGTGATTTATTTGAGGTGTCGCTGAGGGTCACTCCAGGGCATGGGTCCCTCATGTCGCCCAGACTTGAGACTTCAGTCCTGCAGGACTCTTGACTCCCGGTGGAAATTCGAGGTCCAAGGCGGGTCCTGTTTTCCACCTTCTGCAAGTCCTCCGGCTGCCCCCACACTTGGCAGGCCCAGCCCCAGGTTCTCCGCCCAGAGCTCATCAATTATAGATCCCCAAGGACCAGGGCTTGTTATGCAAGACTTGTTTCTGTGAAAGCCGCCTCCTCAAATCCGGTTTGGGAGGGCACGGTGTGTGTGTGTGTG